TTACTATTCTAAAGAAGAAGAAAATATTAAGTGTGTTTCATTTTATGAAATAGCATTAATAAGGTTCCTTTTAATATAAATCAAAATATATTTTAGACATGCTGTGACCTATTATAGCATCTCTTCTTTCCAGGTTTTTAAAAAATATAAATGTGTGTTCTTTGAGTCGCATGTTCTTTGTTTTAAAATGCAAAAACAATTTTCCTATTTTTTTCCTGACCATAAAAATCAGAGTAAGCAGGTTGAAAATGAGAGAAAGATTTTGGGAAAAAGTATATGAATAAGAAAGCTTGCCTCATTGACTAAAGAGAGGACAGGCAAGGATGGCCCGGTTATGAAAATGAACAGTAACTTAACAAGGTAAAGACAAGGACTCTGAAGGTCAAGACAATATTATAATTGGTAGATATGCAAACTGCTTATACACCACTCTTTAGCCATCCTGAATAACTGTATTTTTATAACTTCAGGAATACTATTTTCTGCATCATCTTCAAATATTTGCATTTATTTATTTAATATCCAGCACCTAGCACAATGCCCTGGCATATAACATGTGCTCTGTAAGGGTTGATTGTATGCATCAGTCATTCAATGGGAGTATTTTCTCAGAAGTAGAAAATATTGCATATTAAAGATGTTAAGGGTAATTTTTTTTGTCTTTTTGAGACAGGGTCTCCCTTTAGCCCCAATTGGCCAGGATGTCCTTGAACTCACAGAGATGCACCTGCCTCTGCCTACCCAAGTGCTAGGATTAAAGTCATGCACCACCACATCCGGAGTCAAGGGTGATTTTAAAAAGTAAGATACTGCAGTTAACTTTGGTGGCTTTTACTTGTGTTCTCAGATACTTAGGAGGATCATTTAAGCCCACGAGTTCAAGACCAGCCTTGGCATCAGAGTAAGGCTGCCATCTCAAAAATAGCAGCAACAACAGAAACAAAACCTTAGATGATAAACTTTTATTCAAATGATTATTCAAAAGCATATTCTTTTAAGATCAAATAACAATAAACATCATAATGTAAAATTATATCCAAAGATATAATTCATTCATAGTTGTATTGCTCCTGGAGGCATCCATTTAACATTTTGGATGATAGATAATCACTACATAAATTTTTTTCCTAATCCTTGTCATAGCTATTTACCTCATTTGCTCTAAAAGTTCTAACACTTTTGCTGTTGTTTACCACACCACAGTAATGTTAATGCTTGTGTTGAAGGTTTTTTCTTGTCTTTTTCATTGGGAGCCTGAGTCTTACAACAGTTGCTCCAGATCTCCAGCCCTATCACTAAGATGATACAAATTATGTCAGTTTATTTTCCTGGTAGTTCTCAATTTGGAATATAATAGCACTGGACTTCATGTGGCCCTGCCTTTCATTTTCTTAGGATGTCCACATTCTGGAACTACCTGTTCCTAATGTTTGATGACTAGCACAAGGTGCCATGAAACTAAATAAAGAGAGGAAGACAGATCTAGGATTGCACAGAGGGAAAGTTATTGGAGGAACTTGTTAACAGTGGGGCACTGGGGTAACAGCAAGACCAGTTGGATGCTCACAATTTGTTTCAGAAGGAGGGGCATACATATGGGTCAGGACAGAAATGATTTCATCCAAGTTGGAATTTACCTGATTAAAGCTAATATCAATGGTTCAGGCACATTTGTAGGACTAGGGTGAACTGTAAAGCTTACCATACCAGTAGAGTATGTTTTACTCTATTTATAGTTTCCTGGGAAACTATGCAGACAGAACTGATGTATGGTACTCTGGTGCAGCTGTGGCAGTTATGAATCAAGATGGCTATAGCTATGTTAAGCTAAATCCATACATTCCATTCCTCACAGTAATTTCAGTAGTGGCTGCACCGGGTTGCACAGCCAATAGCAGTGAATAAGTGTTATCCTTTTTGTACATCCTGCCACCAATGGGATGGGGAATGAGAGGGCAGGGATGAGAAGGGATTATTGTGAGGGATAACCAACACTAAAGGCCTTCTAAAGGCCTTTAGAAGAAGCCATATGAAAATCTACCACTATAGAAGCTTCTTGAAGTATATGCATATAGATTAAAACATAAAAAGAATTATCCTATAACAGAGGGCACTGCCTTGAGTAGATATCATAGGCTACCAAAATAAAAGCCTAATGTCAGAAATGGACTCCTTCCCTTCAAGCCATTGAGTAGGTGTCCCATAGACTCCCAAGCCCCTATTGCCATTGATTCTGCTCTTGGTTATTTACCAGAACTTCATGGTAAGACCCTACATACATGAGCTGTAGAACAAACAAGCAGAATTCAAACTGGTACTTACTCCAAAGTCTCCTCTCTACTGGTTAACTTTGTAGTGCTGGAAAGTGCTATGAATGCTACCAGAAGGAGAAAATAATCACTAAACTTTCCCAGCTGTGATTCCTGTGAACTATAACTTGCCTGACAAGTTATACCCACCAGTGCTATAGTGGCATGGATATTCGGGGAATAACCAATGACGTTCTAATTGGATTTAAGGCCCACTTAATTTAATGTCCATTCCTGACATTGCTATCATACCTAGGAACCTGAGGGTAGACAGAATACAGGGCGCAGTGGAGAGCCTAATACTAGTGTTCCACTAAATGGCTACAGTGTTAAATTGACTCCTAATGACTTACTGTTATTCTCATAGATAAATGCATCTTCCAGCACTCATCAGAGAAGGTTCCTTATAGAGAAGATGGCAATTAACACAGAAACCCACAACTGGCCAATGTGCAGAGAATAAGAGACTGCAGAGTGGTTATTCCCAAATATGACAGCTATATCAAACATCTGCTTCCCAGAGCTCAGGGATGATTGCAGAAGAGGGAGTGGAAAGACTGTGAGAGCCAGAGGTGGTAGATGACCACAAGGAAATAGAGATTTCCTGACAGTTGGTCAGTTACTCATAGAAATTCACAGCAATGGTGACAGCATACACAAATCCCAATGTAATCTCAAAGCAGGCAAAATTCCAGTATGTACTTGGGCAAGGGGGTAAGAAACCTGAAACAAACCTGAACCATGCCAAACTATTGGCAACCAATGGCTGCTGGGAGGGAGAAGAGTCAGAATTTTTCAACAATGCGACTCTCAAAGGTACATTAAGCAGGCTCCAGTGGATGAACCCGTACTGAAGGACATTTGTGTACACATATTAGAGTGTATAAGCCTTATATATGTTATATAATGTTTTATATATATATTATATATATATCATAGAGTACTTTAAAATGAGTAATGAGGCTCAGTAAGCAGAGATATACATGGGGAAATGTAAATATCATCAAATTATATTGTATAAAAATCACAAAATTTCAGTATTTTTTTAAATTTAAAAACATTTCAAAAGAAATATGGGCTTCACTTGTGGGAGTTGAGAGATGCACTTGTATTCTCTCTACCCCCTGTTCTGCTATATTCTGCCTTAGGTGCAGAGGTTCCATTGCAGATGTGTCACTTAGGGCTGGACATTTCACAGACACTTATTCTCTGTGTCTGACCAACTGTGGAACTCTGTAATAGTCTCCATCTATTGCACAAAGCTAGCTTTGTCTATAAATATAAGGATCCATGTTCAGCATACAGTAAGAAAGTACATTGGTCTAGGGATATGACATAGGTAGGATTTTCTCCTATGTAAGTTTTATGACCTCTCCAGACATGCATGCATGTTTTAGAGAATAAGAGACTGTAGAGTCCATGTTCTTGGATAGGACTCCTATACTAAATCTCACCCATGGCTCAGGGACCATTGAGGAAGAGGGAAAGATTATACAAGCCAGGGTTGGTGCATGAACATAAGGAAACAGAGGTTTTCAGGCCTCTGAGAACTTTCTCATGAACTTGCAATAATGGTGACAGCATGCACAAGACCCATGCCAACTCATACAAAACCTCAGCATAGAACAAGGGAAATTGGAAGCAAGCCCCAAACCTAGCCAAGGAGCTATTGGCAAATAATTACTGTGGGTGAGGGAGAGTACATATTCTTTAGGGGAGTGACTCTAGATAGGCTGACTAGACCTCAGCAGATGAGCTTGCAGCAAGGGACATCTGGATACAAATGTTTGACTAGATAAGACTTAACATATGTGACAGAATACCTGAAATCTGGTGGGGGGGTTATGGGGTATAGGGAGGGTAGATGGGGGGTCTAAATTTGATTAAGATGTATTATATGAAATGCACAATAACTCAATTAAAAAATAAAAAATACTTTTGTATTTAAATAGTAACAATTTACCTGCAATCTTAACCCCCCCAAAAAAATAAAGAATGCTGTATATTGGATATTTTAATATGAATTTAAGTCAGAAAAAAAATAAGGTTAAACTTGAGAAGTGTTATGGCGTTAAGAAAAGTAGAACCAGGTAAAGGGGATTTAGGTATCATTAATATATTTCCAACTCATGTCCATGTTCTGCTTTAAGAAATATTGGTCCTGTTTCAACTAAAACTAAGAGATACATGGAACCAGATGATTTTAGAGTAGAAGAAACTATAAATTCTCTAATCTAACTTTCTACTCCAGTCAAACATCTTTCTGTGATGCATTCTTAACATTATTTTTATTTTTTAAGAATTTTATAGCTAAGTACTGTATTGGTATCATTTCTGTCATATATGTTAAAGCCTATTGAGTCAAGTTTGTGTACCAAGATGTCCCTCTGTGTGAGTTCATCTGTTAGAGTCTAGTTCAGCTTATGTAAGGTCACTCCCTTAAAGATCAACTCTCCCTCAACCCACAATAATCAGTTGCCAATGGTTCCTCAGCTAAGGTTGGGGCCTGATGCCCATTTCCCTAGCTCTATGCTGGGATTTTGTCTGAATCAGTTTGCATGGGTTTTGTGCATGCTGTCATCATTGTTGCAAATACATATGAGCATGCTACCCGAGGCCTGGAAGACTCTGCATCCTTATGGTCGTGCATAAACCCTGGTTTTTACAATCTTTCCGCCTCCTCCTCTGTAATGGTCCCTTAGCCATGGGAGGGTGAGGATTAAAATAGGAATCCTATCCAGGGACACGGGCTCTGCGGTCTCTTATTCTCTAAAACTTAGCCAGTTGTGGTCTTCTGTGTGTATCACACTCTGTTTTATGAAGAAGCTTTGCTGTTAAGAGTTGAGGGATGTATTAGTATTTTCTCTGCCCCATGTTCTACTGTGTTCCATGAGCCTTAGCTGTAAGAGGTTCTGCTGTAGATGTGTTTTCTATCTCCCTCAACTATATTATAAGTTAATTGGGGATATTAATCGCTTCATTTTATTCAATACTATGTCACAAATATCTGGAGTAATATTTGATACATAGTAGCCAATAAATGTTGAATGAGTGAAATATTATTATAAACTAGACAATACCTTTGTAATTCATTCTTAAGCTAAAAAAAATATACACTTAGCAAAGTCTTTCTCCAGGAAGAAATCCATAGGGCTAGATCGGTTTGAAAATTATGGTTTGATTGCCTTACATGAGTGACAATGTGTTACATATTTAAAGTCACATCCTATAAGTAGATGACTATTAATTTGAGGCTAGCAGATGCATTTTCTAAGAGAACTGTACAGCATCAGTGCTATAAAAGGTTATAGTAATAAGCTAATCAGTCTCTTCATGTCAGCCAAGCCTGTACTGTTCAATATGCTGGAACAACACAAAATAACCAGAAGCAGTTTACTTATTAATTGCCTTCATTGTTCACCAGGCTAATTGCTTATCAATCCTGAAACAGACAATGAAGCAGTCTCTAAATACACGACATGAGCAAACTTCTCCATTAGTCACTCCTGGGGTGGGGGATGAGAAATCTCATTCCTCTGTCTTCACAAACCCATAGATATTTCTATGTGGGTGTACTTCATGTCATATTTTAGTATATGCTCTAGAGAACCACATTCACATTAACTGGCTGCATCCCAAGGCCTTATAAAAACATACATAGTTCATAAATGAGTCACTTCTCTCTAAAAAAATAATGAAAGGGGAAACTTTGGAGTCATGGGAAAGATGGGGCAGGCTTATTTTGCTGGCACCGTATCCTCATCGTCTCATGTTTCTTCTTGTACTCACTGTGCAGAAGCAGAATCAGTGTGTTAATGCGTAGTCATTCCTGTAGAAGTGGATGGGCGGAACACTCAGGCTGCCCTTACAGAACTGACAGCTTAGTCTGTGCCGAACTCCTTTTTCTGTAGCAATAGAACTAGAGCAGCCAAAGTAAAACACAGGTAGCAGCAATGAGCAAAATGTAGATAGTTTTGAAATCATTCTTAAGATATTCTTTTCTCCCCATTCTTAACCAACTACTAATTGCTGTATATATCTTCATTAGCTGATGGTTAGGAAATCCTGAAATCTACAGCCTTTGGTATGCTTGCTCAATGAGTTCAAACCTGCATGTGTAGAGTGTGCTCACGTGGAAAATGGAACTATGTACATCTCTTAAGAGCCTTAAAGTGAAATCTCATGACTGAATAACAATGAAATGTTTCATTCACTCATGGGAAGCGATTTGATTTTATTTTCCTACTGTGTGAGTTTTTTTTATATTATCTCTACTTAGGTGTCCAAATTTCAGAGGCCAGTGGGGAAATTACTGGTACATGGGGGCCAATTGTCACCAACTCTGGAATACTCTGGACCTGATTTTAGTAGCAACATTGCCTGGAATAGGACTGGCCTTAATTGTTGGTGTAGCAATTCAGATTACCTACTACTGTAAAGAGAGGTCAAAGAAGAGTGGAGATCATCCCAGGTGAGAAATTCCAAATTCTGCAGAGAAAAATAGCAAGTCTTTCATGTGAGCTACAAAAGAACCAAGAAATAATGAACACCATTTATTATGCATGCAGTGTGTATGTTTTTTTCATGTTCATCAACATATTAATGAAGTTTGAACAAAGATTAAATTAACATTATAAAACCTCAGATATTTAGTTTAGGATTTGGGTAGTGAAAATCTGAAAAGCACCTTCTCCAGATAAAGACGAAGTGTAATTCACAAAATGTGCTATTTCAGTTTTTTTTCTTCCACCTAGACAGTGTATGTCTGCACCACACATTCTGTCCTAATAGTAAGGAGATGGGGGAAGGGAGAATGCTGTGTCAGTACTTCCTGTCCATTTCCTTCTCCCATCAACTATGCCAAACATATGGAAAGAAGGACATAATGGACTTAACTGTAATCAAACTCTGTCTTACTTAAATCATTTCACTTCATTGAGCTTTAATTTCCTCATCTACAAAATAGGTATGTTTATAATCAGGTCTGCTCACTTCAGAGATGGTGAGAATGATGGTGATTATATATGTCAAGACGAATTATAATTGTTTCACACCTATTCATTCATTTAATCCTCATAACAACCCTATACAATACTGATGAGATTACCAAGACACAGAAAGATCAAATTATGTGGCCAAGGTTATGGAGCTAAGTCTGGTTACCAGGCATAAATTCCATGCTATGCTAATGGAATCCAATTAGATAAAAGAGTGTTGTGGAAGCTGGAATGCCTAGCTGAACTAACTTTGTTTCTTTGTATTTTATATTTTATATAAAATTTTTATATTTTTCACAGCTTCTGAACTTTAGAGATATGAGGGTTAGGGGCTGAAGAGATGGCTCAGTGGTTAAGAACACTGATTGTTCTTACAGAAGACCCAAGTTCAAATCCCAGCACCCACATGGCAGCTAACAACTGTCTGTAACTCCAGTCCCAGGGGATCCAACAGCTCATCGACCTCTGTGGGCATTGCATGATACAGGTGCATTTACCTACATGCAGGCAATACACACATACACATGAAATAAAAAAAATAAATAAAATTTTAAAAAGGGAGAGATGAGGATTAAATAGCCATAGGGTAAAATTTCATCAATTTTATATCAGCTAATTCAAATTACTATCTACTTCATCATTCCTCAGTAATGAGATAATGTTACATTTTGTGTGTTATGAGGATAGTTTCTAATATTATATTAAAATAAGAAGTGTCTGGTACTGTTAGCCTCATATTGCTAAGAATTAGCTTTCCACTTGCAACAAAATAAAGAGTTTGACCCATCTTAAGTATTTGTCTCTGAGACGTGTATGATAAGCTGTCCAACCTTTTTTATCCCTTTAAAGTTCAAATGTTTGTGCACACATTCTTTAAAGTCCATGAGGTATATGGGTATGTTATATGTGCATGTGTGTGTATTTGATATTGTGTGTGATATGCATAAAAATCAATGTTAACCTTAATTTAGTGAATTGAAATTAGCATGTTACTTAGTAATACTTCATATTACTAGTTGACATAAACTAAAAAACCCCTTAAAATGTTAAACAATCATAAATGATCTATGCAGTTCACTTTAAATATATGCTCTGTAATTTTCCTATTCAAATGGCTTTTTAAATTTTATTTTTATTTATGCGTACGTGTATGTTTGTGTGTCAGATGCCACATGAGTTCCCATTCCAACGGCTTTTTAAATTTTATTTTTATTTATGCATATGTGTATGTTTGTGTGTCAGGTGCCACGTGAGTGTGGATGCCTGCAGAAGTTATAAATACTCATGAACCATTTGATGTAGATGCTGGGAAAGGGAGTTGAGTACTCTGGAAGAGAAGAAAGCATTCTTAACCACTGAGCCATCCCTCTAGCACCTTATTCCAAGGTTTTTAATCAATGGACATAAATTCCAATACTCTCTGAGTGAATCAAATTTCACTGTTTCCTTCTTTATGGAAAGAAGAGTAATACAGTTTTTATTATTCTGAGATGCAAATGAAATAATTAATTGAAAATTATATTGAGAAACATAGGTAAAACTGAAAGCTAGATTATAAATCAAGATAGTAGTAGCCTTAACAAGCATTTGAGCTCATTATTAGATTTTTTTTAAAGAAAAATCATTAAACTGATTTTTTTCTTTCAATTAGAATGTTGTTTTTTGAGATCCTTTACTCTTTTACTCCCTAAATTGTGAATTAGCGGAATGATTCTGAATATATTTTGAGGGATTCTTTAGTTTAGTGGAAAAGGTAAAGATTATTGAACCAGAATAAGGTTTATGTATCTTCCTCACAAATCACCAAGTGGGTGGCTTAAGGTAATTTCCTTTAAAATTCCAAGACTTAGGTTTCTTACCTGTGAAACCATTAAAAATATCGAAGCTAACAACTGTCTATAACTCCAGTCCCAGGGGATCCGACAGCCTCTTCTGACCTCCTAGGGCATTTCACAACACGGGTGCACTTACTTACATGCAGGCAATACACACGTACACATAAAAAATAAAAATAATAAATCAAATTAAAAATATCAATGTAACAGGTTTTGCTTATATATTTAACTGGGGCAGTGCAATTCTTTGTGAAATATCTTGCTGTCTGAATTTTACTCTAAATTGCATCAAAAACAAGATGAGTTAATGTGTGGGTAGGGAAATGAATGAAGATATATGTTAAAATAGATACACAGTAAAATTTTAATGTTTGAATCAATGTCAGAGATATATGAGTATTCACTGAAAATTACTTTCAACTTTGCTATATGCTTGAAAGTTTTTACAATGAAATGTTGGATAAAATCAGATGTAATAAAGTACTTTGAACCTCCAATATATTGTAGGTATTATCTATTATTTCTCTTGGGAACAGTCTTAAAATGGGAACACTCGTTTTATATTGCCAAAAAAACGCTTAGTAAGACATTGTTTCATAACTAGTTAAGCAGATGCTTTATCATAACTGAATTGTGTGTGTGTGTGTGTTTTAATGTTCCAGAGAAGAGAGGAGTTTGTCAGGACTTCAACCTCACTATAATTCTGCATATGGTTTTGATGCTGATAGGAGTCTTCCCGAACCTAATCGAGGCCAGGTAAACACTGAACTCATTTGTCAAATAAACTAAGTTTACAGATGACACCACAAAGAGAAATGCCTTGGAGAAACAAAAGGAGCCTTGGAAGATTAAAGAAGTAGTCACAAACAGTAAAATGAAGCCTTATCAGAGGATCAAATTGCACAAATATGGGGTGGTTGGTGCAAGGCCTGAGGCAGTTACACTGGAAATGCTTCCTAGTTCTTCCCATCATTTATTTTCAAGTAAAATCAAGTTAAAAGAAGTCTCAAACACAGGCTTGAAGAAAGTTAAAATACATGTATCAAAGAGGAAACAAAAATCACCAAAAGAGGGCCAGGAAAATGTAGACAAGTATTTGTACAAGATATTAAAATCTCTTATCTAGCAATTTGTTTCCAATTGCACAGACCCCCCAAAAGAAGTCAAGGGGGGCGGTCTGGTAGATGAAGTGTATTTCAGGAGCAGCTTTGAAAAACAAATAGAAAGGACCTGTATATCACATTAGAACACAAGAATAAGAGATTACCAGAAATGTTTTGTTTTTAGACAAAACACAAGGTACCACACAACAGTCATTTCCTTATCTTCTACTTATTCTTGAATAAGTTAAATTATGATCTTTTATTAAAAAAAAATAAGACCTCCATTGAAATCAAATAAGTCCAACCTCATCATATGTTTCTGACATGTCACCATCTTAATATCCAGGCCAGTTAAGTATTGAAATACAAAAAGTTAACATAAAGGCTTGTCAAATGAAGGGTTTGTGGTAAAATATTTTCTATTTGAAGTCTAGTTAATTAAATATTGGAGCTTTCAAATAACAGAATTAAGGATCTGTTGAATAGCATTTTTTTTTTACAAAAAGTACATTAAGACACTCTGAGTGAATATCCTAACATAAATATTGTTCATATCTCCAAAATGATACTCTCTCTAAGACTATCAAATAGCTTTTGCTGCCTTCTTTTCTCTTGAAATGAACAATCGTTAAGTAGAGAACCTGGCATGGAGGAGGCACATTTCCATTACTAGCAATTCACTTTTTCTTATGTTCCCGGGATACTTCTGTCACCTACCTGATTTGCAAATCTCTAAGTTGACTTCATTTTCTCATTTCCCTTCCCTCACCTTTAAAAAAATGCTATGCACACTCCAAATATGAGTGAAATTCATGACAAAGGCCCCATGTAATCATCAGGTATGCAATCTTGATTATGTAGCTCTCTCCCTTTCCTCATTCCAGTCTTCCTGTGGATAATTGTCTGCTACTATTCTTGTTATGTATGTCTAAATATTTCTATTTTTAAGTGCTGTGAATATTTCCTTGACTGCAAAAGCCAAAAATGACCCACCATGTCTATCCCAATCTACCATATTCTTCTCATTGAGATTGCTTTGCAGTCTGGAGAGTTAGAAAATAGAAACTGACTACATCAGTTAGCAACTTAATAAAGAACCAGGATACTTTCACTGACTAAATCTGTTTAGAAAGGTATCCAGATGCACTATACTCTAAACATAGATTGAAAATGTTGTCCTTGATGAATAATGACTTCTTAGATGCCAAGTCTCTAACTGTTTCCATGGAATTAAATAATGTTTTACGCAAATTCATTGTAATTTTCTTTCTCAGCTAACACACATAGAAACAAGAGTTTGAATTAATTCTTGAATTGTCCAAGTTCATTTCTTTTCCTAATTGACTTATGAATTACATTTAAGCAATTGTGTATTTCCTAGATGGTCATCACCTGACCACACCCTCACCTTTATATTAAGCACAAAGTAGTTCTCAAAGTTATTATAATCCCAATATGAACATATAATTAGAAATCCCAGCATACTCTGTGAATCTTTGACAGGAAGGCTTTTTGCTATATAATTTAGTCTTATGAGAATTCACGACTATATATGTTGCTTCTTGTTCTGATCATACATACTTTAAAAAGTTAATTTAACTTTAAAAACTAAGGGTACATATTGAAGTCATTTGCAGAGAATATTTGAATCATTTTCATCCATGAAAATACACAGCATCTATGTTGGGATGTTTTACATTTATTTAGAGGTTCAGAAAATAAAATATATTTTGGAAATGATAGAAATAAATACTGATATATCTGAAAGATAATACCATAAAAATAGTAGAAAAAATAAGAATCAATAGTCACTAAAAATAAAGAATATTTTTTTCCTAACAATCAGATGTTCTAAATTTGGCAATGTTAAAAACCATGCTAAGTTGTCAAGTTTGTTATATGTTCGAATAGACTAACTGCAACGTAGAAGGAGATCATAGGTAAGCTTTAAGTTATTCTTTTAATAAGCCCAGGAAATCATTCTGGATAATGCATGGAAATATGTAATTAATTAAAGCACTCCTTACATACATGACACTATTATCATAACTTACTTTCTCCATATAAGTTTATATTTTCAAGTAGTTAAATCATCCAGCACTCCATTACAAAAAGTTCTGTGAAAATTGCAATAAACTGCAGACTACTGCTAAAAATTGTATGCAATATCTCTGCATGTGTTCAACATTAACTCTATGTGTAATTATAGTAAGAGCTAAAACTTTTTGTCACTAACCGAATACATGAATTTTTTTTCATTTTTTTTTAATTAGAAGAAGCATTTCATTACAACAGCATTAACCTATTCAATAATATTTTTCTGAGCTAGGGTACATCTCTTTCAAAATTGGCTGTACATTTCTATGTTTACAGATGAATTATTACACTTATATAATCTTTTACTCATTATAAACTCTATAAGACATAAAATTAAATGAGGTTCCAACGTTTAAAAAAGATCTCCACTTCGTTGTCAAAACTCACAGTTTCATCCAGAAAAATTCATTCCAAGGCTCTTGAC